GACCGCACCAGCGATATTGACGGCGGTAGAGACTGCTAGCTTTTACAGAAGACCAAAAACCGCGAAAAATTGCACATCGGTTAAGGATGGCCAATTCTTTATGGATACTTTGCTAAGAAATCAGACCTATTTTATTGAGAACAAGCTCTTAGCGCCAGTCCATTCAGAAGAAGACGAACATCAAAATTACAATTTCATATTTATTCGTCATATTTTGTACGTAATTGAGTTTATGACTGTAACCTGTTATAATATATAACGAAACTTTCTTTAAGTTATAATATAATATATATTCGAAAACGATTATAAAATGTATGTGTACCAACTAATGTAAATATAATAAAATAAACAAATGCCAGAAATCGGCGATTAGTTAAGTTAGTTATATTGAACAATGGCACGTCATCGACGTGAAAAATCGGACCGACGGTAACTGCGCGGCACGCTTGTGTTTGGAATATAGGTAATGCATCTGACCGGCGCGGCACCGTCCGACGCAGACAGCTTCTAGCTCCATCAATTCTCCTGTGTCGAACTGTGTCAATATTTGTAATTTTCAAATAGGTCTAAGATTGACCCGCCAATTTTGCACGACCTTGACGCCGGCCTTGACCCTAAAGGCGCGCGGGGTGGTGCGGCGGCACGGAGCGCCGGGGTCGCGGCCCGCAGAGCGCACGCGCACCTGCCGCGTACGCGCACGCGCACTCAAATATCAAGGCATGTCAGTCACCCCCGCGCGCCGCTACACTCGTGCTATGCGCTATGCGCTATGCGCGGCCTCTCCGCAACGCTCTAACGGGCAAATTATAAATTAGCATCGTGCCAACGCCGCGACGGATAACATCTACATTCTTCAAAAATTAAAAGTAAAAGAATTAACATACGCAACCTACGCGTTACTGGAGCCTCATTATTGGATTTATTATGGCAACACAAATATCCTCCCTACATTGAATCTCCCACCTACATTAAAGTTCTCGCAACTACGACAGGCAACTTTGGAGTAGGTATAAGATTAAGTGAGTCGTTGTTAATGCAAATGTTTGTATAGAACTGCAACTGGGGGCTGGGGCTGCGGGCTGGGGGCAGGGGCGCGGGGGCGCGGGGCAGGGGGCGAAGTTACTGTACAGCCACGCGGTGGGATTGTTATTTATTGTGTTATGGTAGCGTTGCATTACTGCGGTTCAGCAGCCGCTGTCCGTCCTGGTCCTCGTCCTCGGCGAAGCAATAAATTAGAAAGTATCGGGTCGGTCTGTCGGATTCTTTTTGTCGCCACTTTCCTCCGCGCTCTGCTCATCGCACCACTTTTTTACGACAATAACGGCGCACTATAAAAAAACCTTTAAAGACAAAAGATTTCATAAAAGCGATATAACAACCAATGATTCAAACAAATCAACTTTCTAACGTTGAGAGTGAGGGAGAGTTATAAAACTGAAAGACTAGTTCGGGGAACTCGTCCACCGCCAAAAATTCTTTCCTAGTGCTAGACTACGTAGTATAAGAAATCTCTCCTGCAAACTTTCAAGTCCCAATTATTGTGCGGTGACATACTCGTACTAGTCAGCCAGTTAACCGATCACTTTACTCTTCTATATGTATACTACAGGCTACTTTTCAATTTACACAGACTTTTTCTCTTTACAAGGAGATTGTTCGTCGCTCTCGCTATGGCGATCGTCGTCGCTCCCAGCGGTCCAAGCCGAGGCCCAGGCCGAGGCCCAGCCGCCGCTGCAGCCGACGCTCTCCCCCTCAAGATTTACTCGGGCCCATATCCGGTGTCCCCTGAGACGAATAAATAACTGTCTCTCTGACAAACAAAACAAAATTCCGCGACTAAAACGATCTCATCGAGTGGCGTAGTTGTACTACAAGTACAACTAAAATACACACACATTAGTATAACTATAACATCCAGTTAAATTGTAAGACACAGCAGACTAAACTACCTAGTGTTCTCTACCCTCTTACGTCTCACGTCTCACACAATGATGCGATGATTATGTTTACTTATTATAACATTTACGTATAATATTCTAGTATATATTCATTCTGCTGAAGGAAAACATATTGTCCGTTGGTCGCATTGAGGCCCGGAGTGGCGGAGGGCAGGGGGGTTGCAGGTAGCGGGCCGGCGGGTGGGCGCGCACGACGCAGGTAAACGAGGTGCCAATTTCATAGCAAAAACTATTTTATCGGTTGCGATTTGCAATAACTCGAACTCGACTATGTATGTGTAACTGTGACTGCATCACTGCCGGCTCTCAAATATTTACATAAGAAATTGAAGTTGATATCATTGTTATTGAATTATAACATTAATTTACGTATAAAATTGTCGCGTCACAATGTTGTACTTATCATACGAGTATTTCTCCGAAACTGTTTGAAGGATTTTTATGAAATTCTATATGCATATTCAGATTTTGAACATATATAAAAGTTGCGCGGCGCGGCATCGCTGTCACACACTTAAAAACTGGGAGGGTGAATGCAAAGTGTGCGGGGGGCGGGGGAGCGTGTACGGGGTTTATTAAGGAAAGTCACTAATGCTGGCGGAAGGTAAATGGTTTTATTGGCAAATTAAGTGGGTTTGTTACAGTTATAAATTTAGGCCTAAATCTACTATTATTCCGGAGTAAGTATTGGTCAATAGATTTTTGTTATACAAATAATTTATCTATATTTACATCTGTCTACTTTCCGGCTGCGTTTGTTTTTTTCACTAGATAAATAAATAAATACGTCTCTACGGTTTATGTATTGTCTTTAGTAGTTAGGACACAAGTTAGAACGTGTGGTTAATGAAATAGTTTTACCTCTGATATCGTGTCGTGTCAGATTTATATACTATTTGTCTTAAATGAAAAGCGAGGGTTGATGTGAGCGGCCGGCGCGCCACCCCGCATCACCCCGCGCCACGCCGCGCTACGCCCCCGCTCCTGCCGATCCGCTGAATGAATAAGCCTTGTTGCAAATGATTTATTCAAAGGTATTTTTTACGAAACATTTGAGTGAAATTCTGAAGCTATTGTTAGATTTAGAAGCAGCACAAAAACCGTCGCGATGGACGATCGCCACCAAGCGCTTAACAAAAGTCTGCAAAAAAATGAAGCCCGCAGCGGAGAAGTATGCAAATGTATTGTTGCGATGCAGGTACGCGCCCCCCCCCCGCAACGCGCACGTCACGGTCAAAGCGATAGATCTTATGTTACATTTTGGCAAATATGCAGCAGATGCACCGGGAGCTCGGTGGGGGGACGGCCAACGGTCCCTGGCCACGCGACAGCTCGCGGCTCGGCAGCAGCCGCACGCCACCCGGCTTCGCGGCCGCCATACGCCATACACACAAAAAAGTAACAGAGATAGAAGTATGGACGATGAACGTCTTGTGAGGCCAGACGAGCGGCGTCACTCTGGTTTCAATTCGTGCGGAAAGGTTTGCTTTACCTTCACGAGCGTTACCCGGCGGTCATTTATTCACCAGTATTAAGAATAGCGCCGGTGCGGTGCGGTGCGGTGCGGTGCGGTGCGGTGCGGTGCGGTGCGGTGCGGTGCGGTGCGGTGCGGTGCGGTGCGGTGCGGTGCGGGGGACGGTGATGATAGAAATTGCGTCGTTCCGTCTATGAGCTGGAGCGTACTAAATGTAATCACGCTGACGACTTAACAAGCGGTCGCTGCGTGTTGATGAAACTGATGCCCAATTAAATGCACATTGAAATTTGTCCTATTTCCTCGTGCCCTTAGTATGTATTCGCGGCGGTTGGCAACCTGGGAGAGCTGGGAGAGCACTGGCCGCGCCGCTCCGAGCTCCAATAGCTTTTTACTCAAAATGTTTCGTCGTCCAGAGATCCGTCTCGCCGCGAGCCGCAAGCCGCGAGCCGCGAGCCGCGAGCGCGTCCAATTAAACGTACCTCGACCTTGTTTTTTCTATTTGGTTTTTATCTTTTGGATCATCTCGTGTTAGCAATAAGATAACATGTATTTACCTGTAGTTTGTGGGAAAATGAGTATCTAATTTATTGCTAAAAATAAATTATAGAGGCAGGGTCGAGAGGCGAGCGCGGGGGGAGAGCCGGTCAGCTGTTGTTTAGAGACGCGAGGGTGGGGGGGGGGGGGGGGGGGCTCGGTTGGCGCAGCGGTCAGCTTCGCCGACGTCTCGTCTCACTTTTTTGGCTGGTGATTTGAATAAGGTCGTCGGAAGCTGCACCACAATGGCGGCCACTGAGTTCCGTGAAACACGCGCATCACAAAAACATCGGTGGCACGGCGAGGCGCGCGGCCCGCCGAACCATTCATCTCGTAATTAACGCGGATAAAAAACGATCCTAGTCGAAATTAGAAACGTCGCGGTGTCGCCGTGCTCAAGCAAAAAGAGCTCAGCTGTGAATTTCTCTTAATTTAATTGTAATTTAGTTTTGTCTCGAAACGACAGAGCCACGGGGTGCAAGTTGCGCGGTGCGGTACCCCGCCCTACCGGGCGAGCTGCTGACGGGTTGCGGTGGGAAGTGGCGGCAGGGGGCGGGGGAGGGGAGTTGTAATTAATAGCGGCGGAGATGTAGCGGCGCGGCGGGTGAATGAACGCGCAAAAGGCGCGCTTCCTTAAACCTATCTTTCATAAAAATATATGTTTATAGATAGATGTACCTTAAATGCAGGCACACAAGTGTTACTCAGCTGTAATCAAAAAATTATTAGTTACAGCCGACACATTGTAAATGAGATCCGCTGTAGTTTTAGTCATGTTGATAGATTTCAGAGACAAGGAGATCAAAATATTATGGACTATAAAAAGCGGTTTCTATTGAAATGTATAATGTGCGCGTGTGCGCGTGTACGCGTGTGCGCGTGTGCGTGAGTTCGCGAGTTCGGAAGCTGCCGACGGCTGTGGTTATAAAAACATAATTATACGTAATTGATGCAGACGGTGAGGTGCGGGCGGCACGGGCGGCGGTGCGGTGCCGGCCGCTAGCACCGACCTCAGAGCACCGAGCACTTACCGTTCAGGTCGAGCACCATCTGCGTGTCGAAGAAGCCGCCGACGTGGCTGCGGCCCGACACTGCAACAATGACAATATAAGTTGTAATCAGAGGCACCAAGTAATTGACCGACTCCATCAAACATGCAACAATCTGGGCGTCAGTCGTCAGACGCGGCGGCGCTCGCCAATTCCACACTTTGTAGTCGATAAGGGATCACTGAGGTGGCCGCTTAGTGTAGATCTATTATACAAAATTTACAGTCGGTGCAGTGGAGTGAGAGTGCGTGAGAATTCGGCGAGTGCTGTGAACGCGGCCGGACCCCTCGGGTCTGAGGCCCCGGAGCCGCGGCCCCTCGGCCGAACGCGCTGTTCCCGGAGCCAGCGCAGGTGTCGTCACTTCCACAGCGCTACGAAGCACGTGCAACTCACACATTGTGCGCTAAACAAGTCGCCGCGCACTGTCACGTACGTATATGTACTCGACTCGGCGGCGGCCGGGGGTGGCCAGCCGGTCGATGCGGCAAGCGAAACATATCATGACGTAGAAAGTTTAAATATCTAGAGCTTCAAATAAATGTATTAAATAATTTCATTCATGTTTTGCTACATTATAATTATATGTATGAGTCGGACGTCATTTTGTTGTTCAAGTAAACGAAAAAAGTTAATCATTATTTGCATTTCATGGTTCTATACTTACATTTTGTTAAGTGTGAGTTATCATTGGCGTGAAATAAAATATATGTCATTACGGTGAAGGAAAACATCGTGATGCTGCACATATCTGTAAAGAAATTCAAAGACATGTGTGAAGTCAACCCGCAGTGGTCGCTGGCCGAGCATGGAGATATTCCTCCACTGAGGGCGTCACCCGAGATACGAGCAGTAACGAAAGATTGTCCCATCACCACGTAGCTACTCTTTGATAACGAACGAACGAATACAACGCGCCATATGACAGTTTCAAGACGAGCAGTTACGTAAGGTGTCTCTGTCTCCTGTCTTTTGTTACTGTTTCATATAAATAATATGTTGATATTATAGTCTATTAAACTTTCATACATTAAGTTGTCCCGCATTCATACATACAGTTATTCAAAGTGAGACGAGGAGGCAGGGGATTGCGGCGGTCGCGGGATGTCGGCGCACGTCTGCCCGCTGCCCGGTGTCGTGCATCAAATTTGTTCAACATGACAATGTTGTGATAGTAGGGCGCGGGGTCTGGTGCGGGGCGGGGATGTGGGGGCGCGGGGGCGCGGGCGGGGCACAATAGACCGACATCAAAGGGCTAAGTAATACTTGCACCGAAAGAATTCGCGATCGGCGGCCTGAGATAACGCCGCATTAAAAGGATAGGGAAATAGAGAAGTCGCGCGGCTCCCCCGAGACGAGCCGCTCCATAAATCGTCCCCATTTGGCTAACCCGCGAATCAAAGAGAGGTAATTCGCAATGTTTAAATCCAATTTGAAGGCGTAAGGGCCGCCCCCCTTGCCCCGCGCCACCCCTAGGCCCTTGTTTATTCGTCCGTGCCTCCAAATTGAATCCTCGAACAAAAGGCTATGACTCCTTTAACGATTTATACGACTTTTAGAAACAATTTTGACCGACGTCTATCGTACCTATGTGGGAATATCGAGATAACATTATGTTGTATTTATTTGTGTGTCAACAGACAGGTAGCGGTGGCGGAGGCGGAGGCGGAGGCGGAGGAGTTGACAAACACAGGTTTACAAGGAAATGTCAAAGTCGAACGATAGCAATAAATGCGTGCAAAATATCTAATATTTGTAAATTAAATATACATAACAACAAAATGTTTGTTATAAGATTAAATAGAAAGTTTTCATATGTGAGAAGTGTCGTGTCGCCCTTATTAAATTTAAATTTCGAGAGCTGTAAGTCGCAAAAGACAGAGGCACGCGGTGTAGTACAACGGCAGCGGCAGCGGGGGGCGACGCGGCGGGCCGAGCACGTCCGCCGCGGCCCCGCGCCATCTGCTCGGCCCAGTACTCGGTACGCACGAGGCGATCCCTCCGGTGCGGCGCGGCAGCGCGATGTGCGCGGCCCGCGACACTGGCAAGCAATAGCTCCGCCGCCGCTTCTGCCCGCGAATTAGCTGTTTCGGCTACGTTTGTAACTAATTACCAAGAAGTAGTTAATTTATGCAGTTAATGACAAGGTACGGCTTCGGCTTACAATGCAACTATTTAGCGGCGCTCAGTGATGGCGCAGAGACGCAGCGGCTATAATAACATTCACATCGCAATAAAATCGCGTCGATCGATTTTAATTTGCATTTTTGTTTTGCAACTCATACACAAGTTGTATCGATTTTTTAAGCAAAATGTATAGCAAATATTGCCGGCCTTAATTGACATCAATAAATGCTATTTGATGAATGAAAATAATAACAAAAAGTATCGTAGCGGTCGGTAGCGGCTCGCTCCGGCATCGCCCGCAGCGGACAAGGATGTTATATAACTACGTGCGTACAGAAACTGATTTCGTTCGCTTTACTGGAATAATCGTAATCGGGCATTAAGTGTTTCTGTCAGGCGTGTGTTGTCATCTCCCTTTCTACTCTGGCAACACTTGGCCTAATCGTAAAATTGTCTATTTTAAGTCGTGTGATTAAAAATGGAAAGGTTTTATAAATGAGTAAGTTGATTGATTGGACTCATAGTGGACACTTCCACCAGCGCCACTGCTCTCATTGTACCACACCTGCTCCCCCCGCAGACACACTGTGATGTCGCTCCACCAAATTAATTGTTTATTCATATAATTATAGCATGTGGCTATAAATGTCGTCGCTTGCTGCGTTAGCTCGGCTACTTAGAGGGCAAAGCCACAAAGTGCTGCCGCTGCTGGCGCCTGTAGTGCTGCGACTACACGCGCTCTGAACTTCTCTACGCTCTAGTCAGTCTCGTACGTTACATACACGTAGCAGTTGGAATTCGGATGTAAACAGCTGACTGCGGTCGGCGGAGGCTGCGCGGGCGGGGTGAGTGACCCCGGCCGGCTAATTGCGGCCCCTCGCACCGCGCCCCGACCCCGTCCCCGCCCTGCGTGCCTGCGAGGTCGCGCGGACCTTTGCTGACGTCGCGCGACGTAATTTCGCCCTACATACGAAAATCGATCCGACACAAGTTCATTTCTCAAGGCGAACGGCGAACGGCGAGCGGCGAGCGGCGCGATGCTCGTCGCGGCTGAGCCTTCTTTGACGGAGCCCTCGTCCGATCTCTTCCACATCTAGCTGTGTGGAGCCGATGTCAAACGCGCAAGCGGCCACATGATTTTGGTAAATAACATAACCTTGATTAAAAAAGGCTTTGACAGACGGATAACAAAGTGATCCTGTAAGATTCCGTCTTTTTACTTTTAAGGTGCAGAACCTTCAAAAAACCGGACTGACTCTGGCTGTAATGGATCGCGCCATCTCTTGGGTACTAAGGTAAAAATAATGAAACTTTATAATTTTTATTATATTATATTATTTTAATATACTAAAAAAAATTAACTGTGTAAAACAGTGAGATTCGTAATTGTTTTTCATTAATTTAGAATTAAAATGCTTCGATCGGTGTTGTGCTTTGTGCCGAATGCACTCTATGACAATTCAAATAAAACCTCACTAGTCAATATCGGTTCAGTGGTTTAAGCTCCGCCCTGTCACAGAAGAAATTGTGTACAAACAAACAAACATACTTACATTCGCGTTAACACCTTTAACCTCTTTGTCAGTCGGCTAAAAAGCGATCCTACAGCTTCATAACCGCGAAATTAGAGGTAGAGATAATACTTGTACGTATTTAACAAGACCTGCGCTCGCACCGCACCGCACCGCTCGCTACCTTGTCCATGAGACAGCTTTGTGACGGGACCCCACAGCGACACCAAACATTGTAACACGCTTCGTTGACGCTTTAACACAACCTTTATGTCTTACAATGAGATGTCACATGACAGGTGACCACCGGGTCACGTTCAACACGCACGAGACAGTTTAAATTTGATTTGACTTTTTTGATTACTAGTCCATACTACCCAACACTCACCAGTACTATCCGACACTTCGAGATACTCTGACCGGCACTATCCTTAAATTCACATCGAGGTGGCGTCACCACACAGGTTAATTTTCCCGGGAAGCTGAATCAAATTGGCAGCGCTGCGTGGTGTTTGAAGGCACTGCCCACCTGCGGGAGAGATACTCACTCTCTCACAGTGTAATATCTGCGATATTGGTGTTAATGATTCATCGATATTTGTAGTGAACAGACAATGCAAGTGCGGTGCGGTGCGGTGCGGTGCGGTTGTGTGCCCGCAGCGCCGGTGCGCCACCCGCAAATGTCAGGTGCGAGGGCGCGGTGGTTGTGCACCATAGCTAAAGGTCACCCGAAATTAGAGTACAAATAAGAGGGCAGCGGAGCGTGCGCCCCCTCCCGGCCCCCTTCTCCCACGGCGAAATGCTCACAGCGCCAATTACCGCGCGCAGCTCATTACCGCTCACCGCACCATTACCTACTTACCGCTGACGATTCAATACTAATTCTATTATAATATGATTGTAGGTACTCTAATGGCACAACCACGCCGTCGCCCGTCGCGACCGCCGCGACATGCCGCGACACGCAGCAACAGTGGAAACGTTGGCGTCAGTAATAATACCCAACAAAATGTGTCGTTGTACATGAACAGTGACATGTTTATGTTGTTAAATAAAACATTTGGCGACGCGGCGCAAAGTGTTGCCCAACACTTACACCAAAGAATTGACAAATGCGCCGTGAAACGAATGACGGACACGACACTACACCGCGCTCATAGAATTTAAATGATGCTCGCTCGAGAAAACAGTCAAGTTGTTCTCTGTGCGTTGAGGGCGACACGACGACGACACGACGGCGACACGGCGGCGACAAGACGCGCCACCGAGGTCAGACCTCTTTCACGTAGATAATATAGTTAAAAAAGCGTCTAAAGCACTTGGTTCATAATGCGTGTTTCCAAATGTTTTACCGAAGCCAAAACCGTTAAAATCCTATATTGTACGTTTGTACGAAGCATTTTAGAATATGTTTCTCAAGTTTGGAATCCGCGTCACCTCAGTTATATTGATCGTATTGAAAACATCCAAAAACGTTTTATTAAGTACCTTTGTTTCCATCAGAGAATCCCTTACCATTCCGAGAATTACCTTGAACTCTGTCGCAAATATCATCTGTTGCCACTTTTCATTCGACGTGAGATAGCTGATTATATTTTCTTACAAATTTTTTTTAATAATGAAATAGAATGCCCTGAATTATTGTCCAAATTATATATAAACGTCCCATGTTAATCAATTCGTTCCATACCACCTTTGCTGTTGCCCTAAGCTTCTTCTAATTATAGACAAAACAGTTTTATTGTGCGTGCAATTGGAAATTTTAACAAAATCTGTAACAAATATGATTTTGATCCATTCACTACGAGTGTATCCTCGGCACGAAGGTGCCTAGCACCGGACTTTTTCAAATAAAATATATACGTGAACTGCTACTACTAATATTAATGTTCTACTATGATTTAGTTTAACTACATTGTTATATATTACTATAGTTTAATAGTTGCGATACTTGTTTGTTTGTTTGTTTGCTCATTATAGATATAATATTGTTATATAAGTCATTCATTGTCATGTCATTGGCTCTCAGTTGTCTAGTCTATAGTTAATAAGATTATTATAGCTGTAAGTTTTCCATTTTAAAAAATAAATAAATAAATAAAATTGAAAAATTGAGTTAAACGATAAAGTTGTGTGAATATGTTGCAAAAATTCTCACTAATTGGATCACTCACCCGCCAATTTGTAATAAAACTGTACGATTACAAAACCAACAATATCACAACTTATTAAATCATTTAATTATATTAAATGTCTACATTTGTACACTGTTGTGTACTTCAACATGTATTCACTTATAACCCAAAATTAGTAAAAATATCAATAAATATTAAGTGACAATTATTTGTATCTTCTGTTACTACCAAAATATAATAGATTGATAGATTCATTAAAAGTTTAAAGCACAATGAATACCTGATATGGCTAAGATTTAAGTTTATTCTGAAATAAAATAACGTGATATCTTTATGTTGGAAAAGATTCAATAAATGTTATAAAAATAATGTTTAACATAATGTTATCGAAGTCAGTGTGTATGTATGTACATATATGTAGAGTATAAGAACGTCAGATTTAGTCAACATTTTGCGGTAGGTACTACTTTAGGATCAAACTTTACCAATCTTACTTCTTATGAATGCTTGGATGTACGGGTGGATGTTTGTTAGGAGGTATCTCCAGAACGGCTGCATCAATCTGGATAAAATTTGATATACATTTAGGACATAGTCTGTAAGAACACTTGGGCTACCTATGATCCCGAAAATGTGTACAGTTCCCGTGGGATGCGTTTGAATAACATATTTACTCTTCTTAATATTAGTTGGCACAGATGTAGAACAATGTCTCCAGTAATCCTTTACTAAATTCTGCGTCGACAAAGTCGTGAGCAAAAGTTAATTCCTATATATTATAATTTTATGTAAAACAGTGATTGTGAAATTTTGCTAATTATTCGTTTAATAATTAGCAACACTTTTTTGGTTAAATGTTTTTTTCGTGTCATTCAATAATATTTGTAAAGTTTCAATTTCTTGGTATTTTTTAGTGTCATTAATTGTATTATATATAGTCTTTATATTATTTCTGTCGTTTGCTCAAACAGAAAAAAATATCAGTTAAATTCTGCACTAATCGCATTCTAATAATAATCCGTTGTCAAAGTTTGGACATACGAGTACATACATAGTGCGCGCTGCCCCCCACCCCCACACCACCCCAACCCCACATCCAGCCTCACTAACATTATAAATGCTAAAGTTTGAATGGATGGATAGATATTTGCAAGAAGGTATGTACGTAATGACTCAACATATCTTGATGAGATTTGGCACGGATGTAGAACATAGTCTGGAGGAAGATATACGCTTCTAATTAAGCTTGTTTCTAATGCAGTGTACAGTACACAGTGTTACAGTGCCTGGCGACAGCTAGTTAGAAAAAAACTCCACTGAAATATGAAACAAAAAAATAGTGGCTTCACACGGGTGACAATTAACTTTTATTGTTATATTTTAAATAATTTGTCAGAATAATATAGTGCTCCTGGTGCTGCCCACATTTATTTGAACAAGGATGGCGTGACATATTTAATGATGTTTTTAAAGCATATCTTATAGTTTTTATTGTGAGAAGACGTTAAATATAAACATGTTAGTGTGACGACGTGCGAAACGCCCCAACTATGGCAAAACAGTAAATGTGCTACTCACTTATGTGATGTTTGTTATATGTATAACAAATGTGGAGGACATGTACATATGTACTTACATGAAGTAGGCCTAAATATTGATGATACAGCAAGTGAATGTCGGTATATCATCATTATATAAAACATATCTTTTATCACGATTATTTGCTAAACATTAGTACATTTAACCGGTAAATAAATGTATTTATTTATTTTTTATTCTATTATATATAGCTCTTTACTGATCATCATAATCAGAGATTCAATATTTTAAGCTCTCTAGTCCATCACAAAGTAATTTACATAAATCCAAATCCAAATACATAAAACCAACCCAACCGTATATACGCGCGAAAAACATTATTTTCTTATTTATCGGACAAAAGGAATTTTTATATATTAAATGCTACAACAAATACCTGTTACATAAAGTGAATAACAATTGTTATACTCGTATTGTTGGTTGTTGAGAGAACGCGGCTCGCGGCTCGCGGCTCGCTGCAACTGACTTTGGGTAACTCAACATCTGTTTTCCTCAGATTTTGATAAGATTAAACGGAAAACAAAATTGCAAATACAAAGATTTTAAAATAGATGAGCTATATGAAATCAGACCTGCTGGTGCTCGTGGCTCGCGGGCCTTGTATAATACATGTACAAAAAAAATGGAATAAAAATGATAATACGAAATAGGTATACTATAAATTTTACGGACCTATGTTTTGATTGGCGATCGGTTGGAATGAGGATCAGTAATATTTGCATTGTTGCGGCCGCCGCCGGGGCACCAGCAGCACGGGTCGCCTCGTCGCCTCGTCGCCTCGCCGCAATCACACTCCCCCAACAACAACTCAAAGCCGCAACAAATTTACAAAACAATACAACTGAGATGTTTCAATTGATCGTCATTGTAATGAGACAGCTGTTTTACTGATTTTAATTTTCGTTTCGTTACAATTTCATTCTAACTTTTATTATTTTAAATCAAACTTTTGAACTCGTCTTGATATATATGTATGTATAAGAGTAATACAGTTTATTTTAAATCAAAAATGTAGATACAATGTCGTGTGTCGTGTGTTGTCATGTCACTGAAATATCGCACCTGCTTATTTAGCAAGCCCCTATATCTTTTCATAACTATAAATTCATGACTAAAGAAGTTGTCGCTAGCAACTTGTTCAAACCACAAATCCCTTGCCTGTACGCACAGTGAACGAACATTTCAATCTGTTCCTTTGAACGCGCGGTATTTTATTTACTAAAGGCTGATGGTAGAATGGTGATGTGGGAATTACTATTAAATAATAAATAAAAATCCTAGGCACATTTCCCAAACCAAAATGTAGCTTGTAAAACACTGAGCTGCGGCTCACCTGACCTGACCCGGCGACGTTTCAAAGCGGACACGCCGCGGCCGCCGGGGAACCCATTACATTACAAGACGGCACTTTGATGGAATAAATTGAATGGCACTATCCGGGGCCGGGCCCGGGACCTCTTCACTATACAATGCGAAGATGAAGTGCACTCGGCCCGTGTCAAAGGAATCGTTTTGCACCGGGCATACAAAGAAGCGCGCCGAGTTAATGTCGTCGAGGGCTCGAGCTCGAGGGTCGCAACCCTTGCGCCGCCTGACAACTTGTTGACGCGTCGCTTGTCGCTTGTCGCGTGTCGCATGTCGCAAGTCGCGCGTCGCTCAGCCGTCACTCCCGGATGTTTACGTTTTCGCGTTTGGCGTACGGTGACAGCGCCGGCGACATATCCTCGGGAGGCAACACAAAACTTTACTTACTGTTTTCGCGTACGACCACTATACTTAGTAACGTTTGTATACGTTTATGTTTAACATATAGACAACTGACACAATGCACTGTGTGGAAGGCGCGTGGGCGCTACTGACCGTGGGCGGGCGGCGGGCGGGCGCACGGCCAGGCGAGCGGCGCGCGCAGGCGCAGCGAGCAGTCGAGAGGCTGGTCGCGCGGGTCGCGCAGTGCCAGCGCGGGCATGGCGCGGCCGCGGCCGCCGGAGCTGGGTCGCGCCGTCTCTCCGAACAGAGACGTCCGCCCGAGAAGCGCGCGAGCGAGGCACTGCCGCGCGGCCCGCGCTTTTTTCCTAAGTTTTTTTCGCGAGGTGCGAGGGCGGGGCCGCGCCGCCAATGGCGGGC